ATATTTTGATAATCTAGGCAAGAGCAGATGAAATGGAGCAGTCACTATGTGAGTGCAGAGAAGGGGGCTGATACAAGAGATGTTGGGAAAGTAGAAACAGCAAGATTTAGCAACTGGTTGGACGTATAGAGTGGGGCACAGTGGATAGAAGTCAGAAAAATCTGAATTCAAATCTGGTCTCAGGCACTTACTAGCTATATGACCCTGGGCAAGTCACTTCACCCTGTTTGCGTCAGTTTCCTCATCTGCTAAACAAGCTGAAGAAGGAATTGGCAAACCACTGTGGTCTCTCTGCCAAGAAAACTCCAAATGGGGCTACTAAGAGCCAAACACAACTAAACAACAATGGATAAATAGAATGAGGGAGAGTGAGGACCTGAGACACAGATAGAATAGTGGTGCCCTTGGCGGAAATATGCAAGTTTGGAAGAGGAGGGGGAGGGATGAGATTAGGGAGGAAGGATGATGAGCTTGTTTTGGACAAGTTGAGTTTGAGGTGAGCCCAGGACTTCCAGCAATAATCGCTCAGCTGTAGCTTAATAAGTGAGCTTACTGGCATTAGAAATCTATCCCCTCTGCCCCCTTCATTTAAACATTTTGGTTCTAGACCTGACCTTATATTCTGAGGCCCAAGCCTGGATGGCAACTGAATATTAGGTCAATGGGTGTGCTTACTATCCGCTTTCATCTTGTGCAAAGGTTCTGGTAAGAAGCTATTTTTGGAAAGTATTAATCTCTTTGGAGTCACGGAGCAATGCCACCAGTAGTCAGGCTTTGGATTCTCTGTGGGGAACGTTTTTATTTTAATAGGATGATGGATTTAGAGCTGGAAAGAAACTAATTGTGCTCTGACTAGTGGGTCCCAGATGGAAAAGGGCGTGGCTCCCATTAGTGCCTATGTGACGCAAATGGAACACGCATTCTGCTTAGTCCTGGATTCCAAGGGAGCCCAGTGAATATGAGCAGTCCTTAAGGTAGCCCTGTTTTCTCAGGATCTGAGAGAATTTGTGATGTCTGAGGAGATCCGTAATGAGAGGCAACAGGGTATGTAATCAGCAAGGGTGCTGGACTTGGGAAGGACCTGGGTTGGTGTCCCACCTCAAACACTGGTATGTTACCAGGGGCAGGTTATTTAATCTTTCTGAGCCTCAGTTTTCCCATTGGTAAAGTGGGGATAATGCTACGCCTAACACTGACTAAATAGGACTGTTATAAATATTTAAAATGGACCTAAAGCTTCTCGCAAACTTTAAAGGGCTCCTACATGGCAACCATTACTATCATGATACTATGAGTGGTGGAGCGGATAACCAAGACCTGGGTGTGAAACCTGCCCTGGATAGATAATGACTCCATGACCCCGAGCAAGTGAGTCAGGAAACCTCTCAGTTCTGTGCCCCAAGGCAACTGTAAGTTTAAAAATTGTCAACCAAGTGGTTTAAGGCAAGTTGGTAGAGTTTCTCTGCAGCATTTCTGCAGAGGAAAGAAATCACTGTCCAGTCAAGAAATATACGCTATGGTATAGTAGCTGACAGGCCTTCTCTTTGTTATACCAATGAGGATGAATTTCTCTAATTTATATATAGATATAGATATATGTATTTCTATAATTATTTCCCTTGTCAACCACTTAGCAAATTGCCAAATTTTTGCCAAATGAGAGAAAAAAAGGTAAAATCTCTTTGAAAAGTGAAGAGTATAAACCATTTACTTTGGAAGGCCCTTAGCCATCATCTTGTTCAAGGCCTTCCTCTCACCCCACCCCTACTTTAGAAATGAGGAAGCTGACATTCAGAGGTTCACTTGCTCTTCTAACATCGTTTATTTTTGTCTGATGACTAAGACAGGGAATTGCATAATAAGCAAATATTTTGGGATGAGTGAGTATATATATGAATGAACTGCATGATTTTATGCGGATGGCGTTATTAGTAATTGCGATTTAGTACTGGGTGCCCATGATGGCACATCATGTTGTGAAACCCTGAGTAACCAGTGCCGGCGGACCAGAATCAACGTTCGTACCGTATGATGTATTGACCGTTGTTTATGTGAATGAATGAAGCGCTTAGTCAGCTCTTACTGTGTACTGAGCATTGTAGGTACAGTAAGACACGTCCTTCTCTCAAGGGGCTCCATTCTAATGGGGCAGACAGTGCAAAGGGAAGGTTTCACCGGCACATCAGAAGGAAGGGTCCTGTGGGCCTTAGGGGACAGCCGCAAAGCAGATGACGATGCCTCTTCTTTAATGAGAAAATCTTATCAGTTTCTGATAGTGAACCATTTGACCGTGGGGTCTTTGGACTGATCCTGTTCATACATATATATGTATGTATATATGTATACACACATATATATAAAATACGTAATACATATGTGTTGTATACAATACAATACATACACAATAGCATCAGAGAACCTGGACTCAATTACCTCTCTGGATCTCTGGGACCTCATATTTTAGATTAGTTGATTGGACTTGATGATTCCAAAGTCACTTCCAACTCTCTAACTGTGGTCCTATAAAGGATTTGCTAAAGGTCACATAGGCAATCTGTATTTGAGGTGAGACTTCAACCCAGGTCTTTCTGCTTTGCTGGCCAGCTACAGTGTCAGCATGCTGACCTGAAAACCAAGTACTCTCCTAAAATTCTGTTTCTTCCACTTCCATGTTAGAAGGCGTGCTGGTTATGAACTGTCCGGGCAGAGAAGCCACATAGAATGTCTAATATCTATCTAACATTTCTCCACTCCACAGCTTTCTCTGAATCATCTGTAAAGATCTCGAGTTTCAGACTTTGGATATAAACACAAGCCCAGCAACATTGATATTCTCTCTGATGGGTTGTTTTGATAATGCAGCTCATACGTCAGCCTGCAGCTCTGCTGGAAACCATAGACAAGGTCACAGTGAACATATGTGTATGCCAGTCATTCAGTGAGCATTTATTAAGCACTTATTGTATGCCAGTAGAGGCAGCTATGTGGCTCCGTGGATAGAGAGCCAGACCTAGAGTCAGGAAGACTCCTCTCCCTGATTTCTAATCTAGCCTTAGACACTTTCTAGGTGTGTGACTCTGGTAAATCACGCAACCTGTTTGCCTTAGTTCCCTTATCTGTAAAATAAACTGGAGAAGGAAATGGCAAACCACTCCAGTATCTTTGCCAAGAAAACTCCATGGACAGTGTGGTCCACAAAATCACAAAGAGTAGGGTGCAACTGAAGGGCAAGTCCTGTGCCATGTGTATGCATGAGGAAAGAATGATAATGGGATAATGATCTTAGCAACTCAAATTTACCAGGACTGGCCACTTTGATTAAATTATCCTCCTTAAATTAGCTCGCAGAGAATGAAGTTGTACAAATCTAGTGAAACAGCCCCTGAGGCCAAAATAAGACAAAGTAGACCACTGGTTGGGCCTTACGTAGCACTGGAAAATGATGATTTAATCAACTTTTATTCTAAATGAAGGAAGTGTAAAGGCAGGAAAGTCGGGAAGTACAAAGCAGCCTCTGAGGCCTCAACACTGGCACGTTGACTCTTTAGTAAATGCAGTATGGCAGTCCTGATAGCCTTTTTTGTGGATATAATTGATTGTTGCAATAATTAATGCCTGCCATGCATGACTCTAAGTTTCTAAGGCAAATAATTTACTGTAATTACTAAGGTCAGGTAACATTATTTATTGATTAGATTTCTTTAAAATGTATCCCTTGTGGTAAAAATTTCTTTGGAGCCCAAATACAAAGGATTTAGGCCTTAGCAAAGGAGCAGAGCCCAGGCTTGGTTAAAATCTACCCAATATCACATTCCAAAGAGAGGCCTTTTCGCCGTTCTCCAAAGGTTAGCAAACCCCCTTAGGTCTTTCCCTGTTCAGATCAGATAATAGGCACACACTGGAGGTAGTATCTATCTGTTGCCTCCAGATAGGATTTGGAACATTTCTGACGTGACTTATTATTTATTTCTAAAGTGGCTTATTCATATTGCTGAATTGTAATGATGCTGGGGTTGTATTCATCATCCTAGGCAGAATTAATTATATTTTTTTAAAATCTCCTGGACTCAATCACTATTCCTATCCGAGAACTGTGGGTTTTAGAAAAAACTCCCAGGTGACAGAATGAATAGGAGAGGCAAAACCGTCTTCTCACCTGAGGACGATTTTTCCTGAGAAGTGACTTTTCAGCCTGTTATTCTTTGATCTCCGAGATCAAATAACCATCTCCCTAGGAAAGGTGCTGTATACTATGGATTTAGTTGTGAAAGGAAAGTCACATTTGCTTGAAGAGCTAGAAGTAACTGGAGACACTCTGGAGTATCATAAAATTGGGCTTGAGAATCAGTGGCTTTTTTCTCTCTTTCTGGGTAGAAGAACATCAGTCAATCAACCAAGCATTTATTAAGCACGTATTATATACCTGGCATTATGCTGGGCACCGGAAATACAAAGGCAAAAAGAAACAGTCCCAGTCCTCATCCAAGCAACAAACAGTTATTAAGTGGCTCCTGTATGCCAGGCACCATGCTAAGGGCTAGGTTACAAAGAGAGCCAGAAATCAATATCTGCTGTCGTGGAGCTCAGTCTAATGGGGGAGATAACATGTAACAATTGTACCCAAACAAGTGATACGCAGGACAAATCGACAGAGAAAATGCCCTAGCCTCAAGAGGCTAGATGGGGAGAGGCTTCTTACACAAGACAGTCTTCTTTTGGAGGAGACAACATGGATACCCATGAGTAAATGTATAATCTATAGATGGAACGAGACCCAGAGAATAAAACATAACATAGAAATGTCTGTTGTCTATCAATAAATAAATTCCACCTGCCACCTTTAATGACTTTCAGCTTCTTAGCTGACCTCTCAGTTAAAGGGGAAAGGGAAAGGAGCCCAGGTTTATGTTGAAAGTTGGAAAACTTCTGTGTAATGAGAAGCAGATTGTGTCTAAAAAGATGGGACATTTAATGGGGATTCCTCCTTTTTTGTTTTGCAGCACCTGACATTTACAAGGGAATTCGATTCCGATTCCCTTAGGCATTATAGCTGGGCTGCAGACACCCTGGACAATGTTAACCTTGTCTCGAGCCCCATTCACTCTGGGTAAGTCACCTAAGTGGTTTTTTCTTCCTCGTTAAATGGGGAAAAAAAAAAAAAGCTTTTGTTCCATGACTGTTGTAAATCTAACTTGTCATACTATTTAGGCAAGAGATATGTGTGCTTAAAATGCTTACCAAACTGTTGAAGAAGTTTGCTATGCATTTGAGAACATTGCAAGAATACTATTAATGGTGGGCAGAGTTTTGCAAATAGCTCCCCAGCCGCCATTTTACCCTGTAATATTTTGGAAGGAGGAGTCTACCAACTTGAGTGATTGGTATGAGAGCAGCGAACATTAGCACACTTCCTCCATAGGACACTTCAAATTTACTACTTTGGGGTTGGATTTTCTGAATCCAACTAGAAAAAAATGAAATGCTGAAGAATGTATTAATCTGCTTTGTTGTTCTGTTTGGTGGTTTGCTTTTAATGATGAAAGGGACAATTTCAATGACCTGATTTTGCTTAAATAACTAAAAAGCGCTAGTGTTTTTATTATTTCATCCCTTCTCAAAAAATTAGGGGCCTGAGATTTAACTGAAAATTAATTTTATTCCATCCCTTATAAAATTAATATTCAATTGTGAACCAAAAGCCATTTCTGTTGTCAACTCAGCAAGGATTCCTTACTTGTCTGCTCAATGCTAAACTTGCTTGATTCAAATGCGTGTATGTAAGCAATAACATCAGTGTGTCAAGGATATTCGATCACACTCCATTGATAAATTAGTAGGTAAGTCTTAAAAGATTTCCCTAGTCTCAAAGAGGTCAAGTGATTTGCTCATGATTATACAAGTACTAAGTGTCAGAGGTAAAATTCAAACTCAGATTTTCTGTGGTTCTAGCATTCTGCCCATTACACTAAGCTACTTATCCCAAGCCATTATTTTAAAAATAAATAAATAAAACTGCAAGAAAGCAAAAATGTATACAAACATTATACTAGAATAAAAGCAGTTCAAAGCACATGGTAGGTACTTAATAAATACTCGATTGATTGGTTGAGGAGTTGGATAGATCTGAGGATGAGAGAAGGCTGGAGCGGTAGCCGGGGGCAGTGGAAAGGGGACTTCTGGTTTGAATCTTGGCCTTGCTATTTATTAGCTGTACCCTTGGCTAATTCGCTTCCCTTCCATAGGCCTCATTTTCATGCCGGAAGGAGCACTGGAGTCAGAGAACCTAGGTTCAAATCCCGCTTCTTATGCTTTGTACCTGCATGACCTTGGGCAAGTCACATTCCCTACACCTCGATTTTCCATTTTTAAAATGAACTGGCCGTTTTGGCCCTGTGTTGATGATTCTGTGACCAGGCTCAGTGGAGCCCATTCATTTACACCAATGAAAACATGGGTCCACCAATGGGCCAAAGATGGATCCAACGTGGGATCCTTGAAAGGCAAAAGGTCTTTCCAGTTAAGTGGCTTCAGTTCCATTTAACGAGGGCCTTCTCTGTGTAGAGCACTATGGCAAGTGCTTGGGGAGATGCAGAATTTAGCCAAGACATGGTGCCTGCCCTCAGGAAGCTTCTAGTCTAGTGGGGGGTAGGACACACACACATATACTTACAACTGCAATACAAAATGAAATGTGAAGACTGCATAAGGAAGCCGTGAATGGAGGTTGGGGTGATCAGTGGTGACCTCATTGCCATGTAGAGAAATCAGAGTATGGTCTTTCCCATCCATGTGAATAGAAATCTTTTGTTGTTATTTTCAGTCATTTCTCACTCTCCGTGACTCCAGGTTGGGTTTTCTCAGCAAAGATATTGGAGTGGTTTGCCATTTCCCTCTCTAGTTCATTTTAGAGATGAGGAAACTGAAGCAAACAGGGTGAAGTGACTTACCCAGGGTCACACAGCCAGTGTCTGAGGCCGGATTTGAACTCAGAGAGAGGGAGTCTTCCTGACTCCAGCCTTGTCCCTGTGATTCACTAGCTGCCTTATAGAAACCTTTACTGGCAAAAATTGAGTGGCTTTATCAGTTAAGCAAAGTAAGAGTGATTTTTATAGATAACAGAAGCTAAATGTGACCATTGACTTTGAAATGAACACTTAGGTGGTTTCATTTGATTTTATTTGTTTTGTTTTTAATAAAAAGACATATGATTTTATTGGGACAGATAACTCCCATTGAGGAAACTCCCTCTATCCACAGTCTCAGAAAGTCTAGAGGCCCGGGGGTCTAAGATCCTCTCAAAGGTCCTGCAGAGGCAGGATATTACACTGAGTGCGTTTGCCTGCTCAGTAAAGACCCTCCACTCTATGATGACCCCTTGATGTCTCATCCTGCCATGGGGAGTTAAAAGTTATCCCATCAGGGCCCAACCTCTGACTAGCTTACCGAGCTGGGTCTCCGACAGCCTGGAACTCTCTCATCTCAAGACCAATCTAGCTCAGTTGAAAGGGAATCTTCACCAGAAGGCTGCCTCTCATGAGATGCCTTATTTAAAAAAAAGCAACAAGCAGTTGACAGGCTGCTGTTTAAATTGGTGAAGACAGTGCTTCCACAGCAGAAATCATGGATGTTTTCAATCATTCAACAAGTATCTGCCAGGCTAACATTTATATAGTGCTCTGAAGTTTGTAAAGCACTTTACAGATATCCCACTTTCCTTACAACAACGCTGGGAGGTAGGTGCTGTTATTATCCATGTTTTACTGATGAGGAAACTGAGGCAGGCAGAGAGAGGTTACTTGTCAAGGGTGATAGAAGACAGGATCCCAGCTCGCACTGTTCCTCACAACCCCCAATACTCTCCCTCAGCCTTTTTCTTCCCTTCTTGCTCCACCCGAGGTATTTCCTACCCTCCCGTAGCTTCTTCAAACCCTAACTTCTGCCCGGGTTTCTCACAATCACAAGCTCTTTAGATGCTGTCCCTCCCTCACTGCTGTAGGTTATGGCGCCCACTGGAAACAGCCCTGTTTAAATGCCAGCCCTGATTCTTAGTACGAGTGAGTACCTAAGTACCTTGGACAAGTCACTTAACATAATGTGTCTGGATCTCAGACTCCTTCTCTGTCAAGGGAGGGCATTGGAGCACATGGTCTCTGAAGTCCCTCCCAGCTCTACAACTTCTTCCTCTCTATCAACATTTTTCCTTTAATTCCCCACACCATCATTTACTCTACCATGAAGCCACAGCCAATAATTTGGAGCTGGGAGATGTCCTCTTCTCACTGTCTGGGGACCAAATGGATTCCCAGCTCTCCCAGACTGGAATTCTCTATGCCTTTTCCCATAGAAACACGGCCTGTGGTGAAAAGGTTGTGTGGTACCAGTCCTAGAACAGAGAGATAGCCTCAGGCAGGTAGGTGGTGCAGTGGATAGAGCGCCAGTCCTGGAATCAGGAAGACTCATCTTCATGAGTTCCAATCTTGCCTCAGACGCTTACTAGTTGCATGGTCCCGGACAAGTCACTTAACCCTGTTTGTCTCTCATCCGTGAAGTGAGCTGGAGAAGGAAATGGCAATGGCAAACCACTGCAGTATCTCTGCCAAGCAAACCCCAAAAGGGATCCTAAGGAGACTGAAATGAATGAACAACGTGAATAGAGTGCCGTTGCACTTGGACTCATGAAGACTTGAGTTTGAATTCTGTCTCTGACATTTGTGATTTATATATGGCCGCAGGAAATTCACTTTAACCTCTGAGACTCTGTTTCCTCCTCTGTAAAAAGAAGATAATAATAGTTCCCATAGTATTTGCCCGACTTGTGTGTTTAAGTCTCTTTAGCAACTTTGACATGCCTTTTCTATACATGCCAGCTATTATTAATATCCCGTGAGACACTGTGCCTCTGGGGAAATGCCTTCAGAGCCCTAAGCCAAGGCACGGATGAGCTTTTGAAACTCAGTCCTGGCCTAGTAAATCAAGGACTGCTTGCTTTTTCCATGTAGAAAAAGAAAGGAGAGGAATTGAGTGAGGATTCATCTTCCCTGTGGATAGAGCTGAGAGCAGAGCCCTTGGTACAGGGAATTCTTATAAATGCGGGCCGAAGCGCCACATCGCGCTCTGTATTTCATGCTGAACCAGCCTCAGCTCTACTCTGCAGCTTGTTTATGGCTCCTTTTGAAGGCAGTCGACCTGCATAGGCACACAGAAGGAAGAAGTCTGCCTTCACATCTAAATGCAAGTAGTGTAAGAGGAAGCTCCCAAACTTAGAATGTTCAGGAAAGATGTTCTGAAATTCAGTGAAAATCATTGGAAAATTTACATCGGCTATCCAGGAAGTATGTGTTTGAACTCGGCCCGCAGAGACCTTGCTGTTTTATCTTTCTGATGGCTACTTTTTTCCTTTGCTCATTGACATTTTATGTTGCTCGCTTCTAATGATCTTATATTAATTTTCCCATTTGCTTTCTAAATTATTTTGCAGCTGTTCCTCTCCACTTCCCCAGTATGATTCAAGGTGATAACTGTGTCCTTTATGTGAAATCATCCTCCGTTATTTTCTTTTGAATCAATGTGCCCTCTTTTCCCCACAGTTCAATGTGTAGATGTCTGTAGTACACCAGCGTTTGTCCATGTGCTGTCTTTAAAACTAGACCCATTCACTCGTTAGTGAAACTTTAGGTTTGTTTTTTTCCAAACTTGTGCTGTGCTTGACATTCACATTGACATTCCCATGCCCCGAAACAACATGTGCTAATTAATTAACCCTTCAATTCCCATGCACCAGATTTTCTTGGGAACAAAATAATTTGTAAGAAATGTGGATAGTGGGGATGAATCACTCTTGTTCCAAAATGCTGCCAAACCAAAGTTCACGTGTCCCTCTCAGCTTGAGGATAATCGGGGGCATATGCCAATCAACAATGATGAAACTGGAAACCTCAGAATACTAGATGGCATTTGATGAGCTCCAACAATGCACAGGGTGCTTGGAAAGAGCGCAGAGACTACCCCATTTTCACTTTCAAATCATCTTATGAATGATTTTTTTCTTATCTTTTGGTTCAGGTGCTCTCTTCAGCTGGGGATTTAATATATATTAACATATAATATGTTAAGATGATAAATCATTATTTTCTTTATTATTATAAATCTCCAATTCATATGTAAGTATGTAATAATATAAATAAAATAACTGGCAATATAATAATTTACATAGTTATAGTAATAAATACTACACCTGTGCCTTTACATGGATCTGTTCAATGAGTGCTCTTCTAGGCAGGTTGCTTGTTATCAGTTGTGAGAACAGTGCTGACCTCCTGCATGGTGCTAAGGTATTCCATAAACACGCTCTCTGAGCCAGTCTGGAGATCTGAGATGTCTCATGTCAGGAGGCTTAGGCCTCACAAGGGCAAACACGAATCCTTCAGTGGAAACATTAGCCTGTTGGAGTAGGAGGCAGTAAGACAAGAGTCTTGCAGGATCAGGCTGTTATTAGCCCAAAGCTGTTTGCTAACTCATGCCTGTTTGCTAATCTTTCTCAATCACAACCTGATTTTACCAGTAAATACTGAGAGTTTGAGCAAAGGATTTTGAATCCCTTTTTAAATTCTGCTGTTCGAAACATTTAAGAGAGATCCAAGCTTCAGAGCAGGAAGGGACCTTCAGGGAATGTCTCATTTAACAAATGAGGAAACTGAAGCTCGGAGAGGGATCCTTAAGATCATAGCTAATCCACCTCCTTGCTTTACAGATGAGATAATCGAGGCCCAGGGAGGTTATAAGTGACTTACCTAAGGCCTCACAGCTAGTAAGTAGCCATAGTGGAATAGCTCAGAGCTGGTGTTCTTTGTTCTAAATCTAATAGTTTTTAGCTGTTTAAAAAAAAAATTACCTTCTCCCCTTTTGTGCATTTATAAGGACATACCTATGCTTACATGTCCACTCCCTAGTAGAGAGCCTTTTTTATTCAAAGGAGTGGAAGTTGACAGAAATGAGAATCAATCCAAAGAAATCAAAAGGAGTTTTTAAGAGGCTGTAGTACAAGTTGGAAACATTTTTTAAATGGAAAAAAAAATGGACTAGATTCCATCCTCTGAAAATATTTTAGCTATTTGAACAATTCTCTAATTAGCCATCATTAGCACCAGCCCTATACCTTCTAATGGGCCTGCGCCAGCTCGGTCAGTTCTGCATGCTGATTGGAATGCAAAGCGGTGTTTCTGTTCTCCCCTTCCTGGCTTGCACCCTGTGCGTGTTGGGATCATTCATTGCTTTGTAGAGGCTTTGACAACGTAGAAGAGAGGACCTTGTCCTCTGGCACTAACCAGGGGTCGGAGGGAGGGAGATTTTGCCCTGTACACAAGACCCAGTGTCAAATTCCAAAGTCCCGTTAATACCCCCGACTTTGCATTGGAACTTCTGGGAGCACTGTTTACCTCACTCCTTAGGTGACTGTGTCTGCAGAAATAACATTTATTTAACCTCATGTAGTTGACATGAGGTTGGATGAGAAGGAATTATAGTATTTGGAGAAATGTTCCAAATTTTAAAGTTGCTGTTACAGTTTCTGAAGGCTTTCAAATGGGCAATATTGGATCATTAGGAAACCTTTCTCAACCCAAATTTACACTCTTAGGTTTGAATACCTTCAGAGAGAAAATGCTTTCATAATGCTACTGCTTATTTAATGATTTGCTATTATTAACAAACTCTACCTTGTTGTTAAGATAATAATAATAATAATAATACTAATAATAACCTATATGTTGTTTGAGCATTAGCATGCATATATTAAATTTAAGAGCAACCCCCTACCCCCTTTAAAAAAAGAGTCAGTTTATGAATGAGCCTTTAAGGAGAGAGTATATTTCCTGTTCTTCATTCTTTTTTTACTTTCACATTTGATGTGGTAAATGAGCATCTTCCTTTTCTGACTTTGCTGACCTCTGATCCTTCCCTGCAGGTTCCTGGTGAGTTTCATGGTGGATGCCCGAGGGGGCTCCATGAGAGGAAGCCGCCATCATGGGATGAGAATCATTATTCCACCACGCAAGTGCACAGCACCCACTCGCATCACTTGCCGACTGGTAAAGAGACATAAGCTGGCCAACCCACCCCCCATGGTGGAAGGAGAGGGATTAGCCAGTAGACTGGTAGAAATGGGGCCTGCGGGGGCACAATTCTTAGGGTGAGTCATTTCATCGCTCTCCTTTCTGCCACTCACACCCCATCTTTGATTTTATTTACCCTTGTGAACTGAAGTAGTTAACAATTAGAAGTACTTAGTTTGAGCATCTCAACTGAGAGCGCCATGCCCTGTAATGCTGTAGGCCAAAAAAGCCGACCTTGTAACGGTGAGAAAGCAAGCTAGCCTATTGCTTCTGTAACGCCTTTTGCCAAAGCTTTTTACTAACTTCCAAGTGCATCCCTCCTCCGCCCAGGACGTGTTTAAAGACACCAAAGAGAGCTGAAGAGGTTCCATATGAAGGGAAGACAAACAAAGCAGCTTGAGTTACTGCCATTCCAGCCCTGGTTAGGCGGCTGGGCAGAGTGGAAATACCCAGGTTGCATTTTTAGGAGATTAAAAATTGGGGGAAGCAGCCCGCTCTGATGTGGTCATGCCAAATATCTACCGACACTCTCCATCCTCGGAAGTGGCACCCAGGTGCCGAGCAGGCAGGTTCTATCGGGACTAGCAGGCTGTTCACAATTTCCCCTTCTCCTTTCTCTTCTTGCTGCATGGATGTTATTCAGTAAACTGCACCTTCCCTCCAATCCTCCCCCTGTAAACGAGGGTGAGAGCTTGGTTAGCCGAATCCTGCAGCTTGGGCCTCAAGGAACAAAATTTATTGGGTAGGCGATTTATAGACAAGATACAAGAATGTCTACAATTTTTTTTTTCTTAATTTCGATTTTCGTCACACCCATGATTTTTATTTTTTTTTTTTTTGGTTTTGGTTTTGATTTTTTCCAAAGCTTTCAGTCGATGTGTGTCACTGAAAGACAAAACCATAGTGGCTTGACTTCCCTTCTAGCTCGACGCCCCCTCCTCTGCTTTCCCGGGCATGTGGAATTCACCGCAAGCATCCGCTCTCATAATTTCTGTGCTTTTGTAATTTTTGGTTTTGAATTTGAACTGTTTCAACTGCATCGTCTACATTTCCGCACACAGTGATGAGTCTTTAATTTCAGCCCTATGATGGAGAAGGTATTTGCAGGCTTTGAATCAACATTTAACACAAATGATTAAAAAAAAAAATTTGTTGCTTGTTGTGTTTTTCTCCCCCCAAAATGGGCTCAGCAGGGGGCATGATATATCTCTTCTGGGGTGGCCAAAGTAAGGAAATACTAATAATAAGTGATTTTTAATACAAGTTGAGAAACAGATTTTAAAACTAAATAGATGTCAGTTAGACCAGTCCAAAACATGATTTTAAAATGCAGTTATCTAATCACTGCAGAGTTTAAAGGGGGCGGGGAAGGGTTCTTTTTAAGCAAAAAAAAAAATTTTACTTGCTTTGGCAGTTTGCATGAAAAAAAATCTGTTCAGGAACACCATGCTTGGCTTTACTGTTGGTCAAAGACCCTGGTTCAATACCTTCTCTCTAGGTCTTGTTAATTTTCATACAGGAAACTGTGGGGCTCCTGAATTTTTAAAGACAGTATCTGACATATTAACCTGCAAAGATTGTATCTCACTTTCTAAGATGTTGAGATTATGTCCAGCCAGAGGCCTGTGGGAAAACTGGAAAATCCCTCCAGAGCCTGTGGAATTTTGGACATTGTTCTGCACATTCCTATGCAATTATCAATCAAATACTTCCTGGCCCCATTAGGAGAAATGATCTTATTTGCAAATCTACACTCATAGAAAGACTGGGGTTAGTCTTACCAAAATTGGGGGGGGGGGGGGGAATTCTGCCTAAAAAAAAACAAAACAAAACAAAACAAAACAAAACAAAACAAAACAAAACAAAACAATTACTGGATTTGACTTAAATGTTTCTCCGAGGGCTGCTTTGATAATAGATAGAAGCTATTAAGTTTGAGAGCGCTGGGCTTAGAGTCTGGAAGACCTGAGTTTAAGTCCTTTCTCAGACCTGCTGTGTGACCCAGGGCATGTTATTTAAACTCTCCAACCTGAGTTTCTTCATCTGTAAAAGGAGAGAATGTTTTCGTGACCTCTAAGGTCTTTTTCAGCCCTACATCAATAATCCTAATGTTAGCAGGAGAGAGAAGGTACAACTGCAGGAAGAGGGCGCCATAGTTGGCGTCAGAGGACCCGAATTCAAAACTCAGCGCTGCCACTTACTGCCCCAATGACTTTGGGCAGGTCACCTCCCCTTGACACATCTTCTTTCTCCACCTTGTAAAATGAGAGGTTGGATTATATGGTTTTTAAAGCCCCTTCCAGGTCATAATCCTATTATGGCTGGTCCTCTGTTATTACTGGATTTCTATCAACTGCTGCCCTTTTTTACATCCTTACCACTGTAGCCCGTCTCTTCTACTGTTGTATTCTACAAATCAGTTATGAAAAGAGGCGAAGCTATGTACAACCTCTGTAGGCAAATAATGATACTGTCTGTTTAAATGGTCTTAAAGCTGCATAATCCAGCTACATGAGTTGCCTATGATTACAGTTCATTTATTTTCACTTGGCCCTTTTTGGTGCTTGTCCTACTTTTAAAATTGGATTAAATGCTTTTTCTTTTTTTATGTTGCTGGACTGGCACCTGGAATGAGCAGTCATTACCACTCTCCTGGTCACAGTCAGATGTGCACGGACATGATCACCAAACCACTATGGTGGACCTTCTAAACAACTCAGTACATTTTTGGAAAGAACAGATGTCACACTGCAGCGTGTGTGTATGTGTGAGAATTAGAGAATGAAGCCGCTTCCTCCCATATCACATACTAAAATCAAAACAATGTCCTGCAGCCCGGCACCGGTCACAAAGCTCGGAAGAGCTGATAGCGTGAGCAGGTGTTGGGTTGGGACTATTTTTTTTTTTTTTCGAGAAACAAGATCATAAATATTAGCATATTAGTGTCAGGAATATTTTTAAATAAATAATCCTCTTAAATGACTGTGTCCTTTGAAGGTCTTGACACTCTGAATAATTTCATGGGTGAAAAAACGGGCCAGTCTCTCTCCGCTGTGGCTTGTTTCCACAGCTTTCTCTATTCACATTCCAAAATACATTTATCCAGGATGGCATGTTGTCCAGCTTTGAACGCGCTTTTTTTCTTAGCAAATGAGTCTGTGGCTTGGGCAGCTTTGAGATCATTCTTGACCACAGTGGCACCTTTAATTTTCAAAAGGATAGAGTAATGAGAGATTCTTTTTTTTTTTTTTTAAGGAGAGAGAAAAGTTCACTGTAAATATGGTTTGATATCCAAATAATGTAGATTCTTTCTTCCCCTCCCTTAGCCCAGTCATAGTGGAAATTCCTCACTTTGGATCAATGAGAGGGAAGGAAAGAGAACTCATTGTTCTCCGGAGTGAAAATGGGGAAACTTGGAAAGAGCATCAGTTTGACAGCAAAAATGAAGATTTAACTGAGTTGCTTAATGGCATGGATGAAGGTAAATATGATGGATCTCCGTATTTGTGAGAGTCTGTGGTCAGCAAGACACCAGAATTGTGTACATGAGTAAGAGAAGATGAATTTGAATTCTGGTGTTTCCCTCTTAAGCCAAAACCCAGTTTCCCAAGAGGCTTATGAGCTGATAGTTGTAATCAAGTGAACAGTCATTCACTAAGCACCTCCTATGTGCCAGGAACTGTGCTAAGTGCTCAGGATACAAAGAAAGACCAAAATACAGTCTCTGTCCTCAAGAAGCTCACCATCTAATAGAGTTAAAGCATCTTGACTGGGAGACAGGAAGACCCCAATTCGAATATTGCTTCACACACTTACTAGCTGTGTGACCCTGGGCTGGTCTCTTCACTTCTCAGTCTTCATTTCCTACCCGTAAAAGAGTGATAATAATACTGCACAGGATTGTTGTGAAGGTCAAATGAGATAACGTTCACAAAATGCTTTGCTATAGAGATGCTAGCTACCATTATTGTTATTATTCCAATACATGAATATGTTGGTGATTCTTTCTACTGAATGTGAGCTGTTTTTCTTTAGGTAAACCTATGTCTCTTAACTAGGACCAAAAAGGTTTCTCTGATTGGATAAAAAAGGGGAAATGACATTTTTAGGAAGAGGCTTTCACAATCTGATGCCTAATTACATGAGTCCATCCCACCCCTAACTACCACTGCTGTATCCCCCTACTTTTCTCCAGCAGTGTTCTTGTCTAAGGTCCACGCTGGTCACTCAAGACCTTTGGGACAGCTCCCAATATCCCGAATCTTCCATCTCTTGTCTTTTTGACCCTCTGAGATGTGTATTGGAGTGTAGCTGTTAACGTTTACTTTCAGAGTGCATAGAGTGCTAGCCTTGGAGCCAGTAAGACCAGCCTCTGATACGTGCTGGCTGTGGGCTCCTGGGCGCATGTCCCCAGACAAGTCTTTAAGACGATGAGCTGTAAAGAAGGTGCCACCTACGCTGGTAGCAGGAGTTTGCATACCTTAAAATGAAATCACAAGGACCAATCCCTGTCTCCCTTTCATTAAGCATTTATTAAGCACCATTAGCATACCAGGCTCTGAGAATAGAAAGACAAACTAGAAAGAAGCTCTGCCTTCAAGGAGCTTACATTCTGTAAGGGGATGTAACATATCCATAGAGAATTAAATAGAAAACATATACAAAGTGATTTGGGAGGGGGCAAGATGGCGTTCCCGAAGGAAGTGATGTGTGATCTGAGCTTTGAGAAAAGGGAAGGCACAGGTGAGAACGGTGTGTATTCCAGGTGAGGAGAGTATGTATCCCAGGCCTCATACAGAGGATGTCAGGCAGGCCAGTTCTAGCTGTGACATTGAATCCATGAAGGACTGTGATGGGCAGTAAGCCTGGAAAGGTAGATTAGAACCAAGTGGTGATTGGTTGCAAAGCTAAACCAAGGAGTAGGTGCTTTACTCAAAAGGCAGTAAGGAGCTCTAGAACTTCTTGGTCAAACTAGGGCTTTAGAAATGTCCATTGGGTAGCGGAAATGAAAGATGTCTCCTTTGGTTGCCTGATACAACCCAGACAACTGGGGCAGTTTTCCTCAGAAAACTTGTGAGCCAAATGGTTTTGATAAAAGGGGTGCTTCCATCAGGGTCCTCCTGAGAATGAGGACAAATTGGATAAAGCCCAGATTGGATAACAAATTTGAATCATTCTAAAAAAGTCTGGCTTGCTCTCTGATTTATCCCATCTTGTTAAAAACCCGGTACTGCATTTCCAGTAGTAAATTAGCATAACAAAGGTTTCAGAAGGTGCATAGATGATTTATTTAGTGAAGTAATTAGAAAGTAATTTAGACAGGTCAGAGGATGGGTTGAAGGAACTGGGGATGTTTAAGCCTAGAGACAAGAAGACTTGGGAGGGACATGATTGCTACCGTCAAGTAACTGAATGGCTGTTGTGTGAAAGAAGGATTTGACTTGCTCTGCTTGGCCCCAGAGGGCAGATTCCTAGGGAGCGATACCCTAGGCCACTTTGGGCTTCCTTGCCAAGAGAGCCATCCCAGTGGGGAAGGGGCAGGTGCCCCCTCCTCGGTGGTGTTGAAACCCAGGCTGGATGACCGTGTGTTGGGAATGTCCAACAGAGAATCTTAGTTCAGGTTGGTTGGACTCAATGCCCACTGTGGTCCCTTCCAACTCTGATATTCTGAGAGACGTGTGTCATTAGAAAGAAAACGAATTTAAAGGGAAGATAATAACCCATCAACTTCCAGATTTTATTGTGTCTCTATCCCTCACCCTCCCGATAGCATATCCATCTTAAATGGCATACACTTTCCAAAATCTTTTCTGCTCCAGTGTTTCCATAGCTTTGCTTTAAAACAAATAAAACTCTTGCTTTTCTAATGTTCTAACTGCACAGTGTCCTAATAAGAAGTTTAAAAAAATCCCACCTTAAAATAGTTAATATGTAGAGGTGGTAATCAGTGTCATTGGGGTAGCTGATATTTGTGCCACATTCAGGAAACCTTTTGGAAGCGCAAATGTGTCATGAGCAGGTAGTGCACTCGTCTCTCAGGATAAACTTCACTATAGACACTAGCAACCTGGTTGTACCTGCCAGATTGAACACAGCCACAATGATAAGGCCCTCTGGCCTGCATTCTACCCAGGTTATCTTGAAATAGTAGAGACTTTATCTTGCTTACATTTTTAAAGAACAGACTGAACCCTGATTCCTTCTTAGAAAATTAAAAGGAAACACAAACACTTCTAGGTTCCAGGTGCCAAAGGACAGGTGGGTCTCATGGCAACAGTGAAGATAGATGGACGTCCAATCAAAACGTAGTTGTGGGTTTCGGGTGTCACCTTTGAGTTGGGGGCAGGGAGAAGTGGAGAGAGATATCTACTACCCTGGTTACCATCCGCCTTCCTCCCCTTTTATCTTGGTTTTCTACTTCCTTCACTCGTTTCAGCCATTATAATGCCTTTGAAAGAGAGACCAAATGAGAATGCATTCAGTTTTGTTTCTGATTTGTAGCTCTAAAAATAATAACCTCCATCTATCTCTTTCTTTCCTTCTCTCTTTGTTTCTCTCTTTCTTTCTTCCTTCTTTCCTTGTCTCCCTCCTTCTCTCTTTTTCTTCCTCCTTCCTTCCCCTCCATCCTTTTTTCCTTCCTTCCTTCCTCCTTTCCTTCCTCCCATCCTTTATTTCTAAGGGGAAAGACCTTGAGGCCATCTGGTCCAACACATACCTGAGAAAGAGTTCAATTCCATAAAGCTCCTATTTAGTAATGTGCTGTGCTGTCCACTAGGAGTGGGCATAGAGACTTGTGACTTTATTGGTAAATGCATCTCCCAGATGCCAACTCTCCCTCTTTCAAGGCAGATTAGCACCTTCTCTGCAGCTTAGAATCTTGGGGAGCTGTGGGGAGCCTTGAGAGGTTCAGTGACTTGTCTAGGGTCACCCAGCCAGGATGCCCCAGGGCAGGACTTGAACCTAGGTCTTCCTAGCTCTCAGGCCCTCTCTTTATCCTCTGTTCCACTGAATCTCAACCCAACTCCCATTTCTCTGGCCTTGTAAAGTTAATCAAGTGCTTTGTAATGAGGATGCGACAGTTAAGTAGAGAATGCAGAAACAGAAGATTGGAACGATGTTTGGCGATTTACACATTAGTCATAGAATGTTGGGACTAGAAGGGACCTTAGTGAACACCCATCTGCCTCATTTTACAGATTCAGTTCAATTCAGAAACATTTATCAAGCACCTACTGTGTGTTGGGTACCATGCTAAGTTCCAGGCAAAAGAAAAATAAAACAAAAAGCAATCTAAGTTGTCAGGACTAGGATGAAATCCCTCCTGTGGGAAGGCCTTCCCCAGCACTCAGCTCCTAAGAGTGCCTTCACTTTTGAGATTACCTTCCATGTGGATTGTACGTATCTGATGAGAATATAATTATTTGCATCTTGTCTCCTAGTTGGAACACGAGCTTCTTGAGAGCAGGGCATGGTTTTGTCTTTCTTTGCATCACCAGTGATTAAAAAGCACAGTGCCAGGCGTGTGGTAGGCGCTTAATAAATACTTATTGACCAACTGACTGATTGCCTGGCTCATAAAGGGGACAGCTTGGACGCCAGGATGGTTATATGCAAGATGCGTGCAGAGCAGATGTTAGACACCATTAGACAGGGTAGCTCTGGATCAAAATGGAAAATACAGAAAAACTTTAGGAGTTAAAATAACAACTGACATGTTTCTAGGGTTTAAAGTCTTCAAAGCACTTTACATGCCTAATCTCTTGCAAATGAGAATATACAGATTAGGTTTCCTTTACCTTTGCTTCCCAGGTAGGGAACCAATTCCTTCTGGGGAACCTTAACAGATGCAAAAGTTTAAAGACCGTTCTAGTCCACCATCAGCACATTGTTGAGCATTTTGGTTCAGAAGATTGTAAACTCCTTGAGGGCAGGGACTACCTTCTGCCTCTTTTTGTTTTTCTGAAGCTTAGCACAGTGCCTGGCACATAGTAGGTGCTTCATAAATGCTTATTGAATGAAACAGTAATCCTTTTCAAGGCATATATTTTGTTTAATCATCAGTTACTAACCGAAGGATTCAGGTATTTCCCATCTTGGCTACAAAGACTATGATACTCAGCCAAGAAAGGACCTCCAAAGTTACGCCATCTACAGGACTTTAAGAAATGTAGGATTTCATCATCCTTTTGTGGACCTTCTGTGTAATACAGATGTATTGACAAGAGTCCTGGATTTTAGAGTTTGATGGAGTCTAGGGATGACTCTGCTACTTGCTGCTGCCTGGATGATCCTGGCTTCTTTGGGTCTCAGTTCCTGCATCTGTAAAGTGGAAATTGTAGCCTGCTTTACCTGTCTCACAGAGCTGTAAGGAAAAGCTTTTGTACACCTAAAAGTGCCGGTGCAGGGGGAGGGAGCAACCTCATTGGACTTGTTGCTTAAATCTTGGCCCCACCGCTTGCTAGCTGAGCTATGTGACTTTGG